CCCTTGTCCGCCTAATATGAACAGAGAAGTCACTGGAGTGTCAATGAGTCAGAACAACAGACTCCACTTGAGCTTTCAAAGTTACAGAAGGGATCTGAAGTATTTAAGAACAGCAGGCAAGAAGAGATAGATTGGACCATGTCAGTTAGATTGTTCTTTTGTTGTAGTAACCTAACCTAAACAAAAGTAAATGTTTAAGAAGTGAGTAGAAGGTGATTAATGATTTACTATTTCTTAAGGAGTCAGTTGCACCTCAAAGTGGATCATACCAGTGATAACAAAAAACAAATGATCTTGGTCCTATCAATGATTCATCCCACATCCACACACATAACTGCTATCCCATAAATTCCTTCTCCAATTATCCAACTGTAACAACAAACAGTTAAACATTGTAAACTACAACACTAAACCATATTCATGAAATAATATGATTCTTACCACAACAATGAACAGAATTTAAAAATTGGTATAATTTAAAGATCACTACATTCCTTAATAATTAAACAACATAAGTGCTTACAAATGTAAGCTATGAATTTATCAACACTTTTGTGCATTATTTATATTTTATCCTACATTATTTGTTAATACAACTTCTCTGATTTATTCTATACCCCTTTATAACTCTAAAGACTTCTTTGAATTCTAATATATGAGGGCTTAACCATTCAATAGTTTTAACTTTATCCTGCCCTTACCTGTAGATAATAAGCTCCTACAGAATATGAATTCTTTGTTGTGTGTATTTACTCTCCACCATAGTCTGTTCTACCAAAAGATACTGCAGTGGGCAGAGGACTTCAAGGATGTCCTACAATTCCTACTCCAGCACTTGGCATATTTTGCATAGCAGATACTCAGTAGTACATACATATTAAACACAGGAGTGAATAAACAGCATGAAAGTATATATGTGGATGGGTGTATGCAGAGAAAGAATTGATAAGGTGAAGGTGATAAAGGGGAGATTTGGACAGGGAGAGGAAAAGGAGAAAAGTAAGCAGGTAAAGAAACTATTAATACATATGGCTTTTCATCATCCTCTCTCCTCTTTCCTGCTCCTTTCCTTCTCTAACCATCTAAACTATCCTATGAAGATATAGCTCTCTAAAGCTCTAGGCTATGACTTAGTTTCATTAACAACTGGCAACATGTTTGAAGATAGTGGCTCAACCCTATGTTTGGCTTTCCCAGGGTTGTAACTGTTATATATACACAAATATATACAACTGAAATGTATTAATGGCTATACATAAGTACATCATACATTAATCCACATAATCACAGAATAAAAGCTTAATAATTACTGAGTGAGTAAATGACTAAATAAAGCTGGACTTCCAAAATCATTACCTCTAAGGAGCTAAATTTTGTAAGATCAGAAATTTGATTTTATGAACTCATTCAGTAGACATCAGATTCCAGGAAACTGAATCATATAACTGAAATCATAAAAGAATAATTGGTAAGTGTATAGGTCAGATGAATATATGACACTAAGTAATTATAGTAGCTTTTATTTGCTCACAGAAGTGGGCAGATTTATTTAGAAAATGAACTTAATTTGGGGAGCAATTTATAATGTAGAGCTCAGTTAGAGATGCTGCATCATTTTCAGAGGATTTTTCTTAAGAATAACCTAAACAACAAACACCATGTCCCAGGAGCAATGTTGGACCAAAGTGTATTTCCAGTGTTTAATTACTAGCTTCCAAATTCCCCCAGTTCTTTCTTAATTTAGATTCACCAATGATTAATAGAAGTGTAAATTAATTACAATCCTCACCTAGCATTAAGCAAATACAATGTTTACAATTAATGACTCTTAAGGACACATTTTATATCTTCAGAATGTAGTTAAAAACCTTGTATTAAAAAGTTATTCTTTCACAGATTTTGACATCCTAAACTTTTGTAATTTTTATCTCCTGCTACAGGGATATTGCTCTTGTGGTCTACAGTGTACACTACACACTGACTTTTCAAAAAGGGGAAAAACAGTAAGTTAGCCACTTGAAGTTTTGCTATTTTTCAGAGAAATAGCCAAAGAAATGTCTACTTTAGCTTTTCCAGTGCTAGATTTGCTCTCAAGATAAAATATTTGTTAACAGGATGTGGGTATACAGGAGGATGAGTGAGTGATAAAAGGACTGGCCAGTTCTATTGTCCCTCCCTAAATTTGGGCATGATGGTTAAACTATCACCTCTATCCAAAAGAGATAAGGTTACGAAGAAGGAAACAGACAAAAGTTTGGAGAGACAAGTCTAGGCCAGGAGGATGCCAATGCAGATAATTTTTGAGAGGGAAGTCTGAATGTAAAACACAACAGTTGTGAGCAGAATACACAGGATATCTCAAGAGATATAATTCTAGCACAAGAAAAACTATCAGTAGCTTTGGTGATTGCCGGGGGAGGGAGTATATGTAAAGGGACTAAATAGTAATGGAAAAATATAATAAAGATAAAAAATAAAATGAATTAGAAGAAGCAGTAAAATAAATCTTCCTCAAACCCTAAAAGGTATATTCAGTTTGGCAGACTATTTATTAGTCATATCAAAAATACAGAAATGCAGTTTTTAAAATAAAAGGAAAGGGAGTTGGGAGAGGACCAAGTCTAGTCTTGGTTACAAACTCAAAGTCATCTATATGCATCTGGATAGAAATGCTCATAAAAAGATTACCAGACATTTTCTACTTTATTGAATTCTAAAATTCATAGATTTGCTTATTCTCCTATCCATTCTTATCCATATACTTATTTATTTTCTTATCTATCTTTGTGCTTTTTTTCCTCCTCGTAAATGATTGTTTTTGTTAAATGCTTAAGAGGCATTTGAAAAAGTGATAGTGGGGATCATTAATTGTGTGGCTAAAATGACTAAATAACATTTTAAAATGTAATTAGCTGCATCTCCTAACTAGTATAATTTGGGGAAAGAAGGTGGATGGGAAGGGAGGCCCTCAGTTGTCTGGAATACATGGGTATATGCAGAAAGATGCATATACTCTCTTTACCTACCCACCTCTATCACCAAATCATGCCAGTTATCCCAACTAAGGATTTATTTATTTTAGCAAGCACCCCAAAACTCTAGAGGGATTATGGCCATCAATAACTCATAAGTAAGTTTTAACTACTTTGGGTTTATCTACAACTAGCTGAGATTTTTTAGAAACCCCTTTTATTCAGAACAGTATTATAAAAAAGACAACAAATAAAGCTTTATTTAAGCAGAGCATGTATTCTACAGCTCACCACTCCTTACTGTCCTACTGTCCTAGGAGAGGCCCTACCAATCCTTACTGTCATATACTTGTCCATTTTAAATATTATTTGTAATTGGTCCTTCATGACTGTTGTAATGAGCTGTTTGGGAAATGCACGATTTAAAGAATATTTTGCTCTTGGGAAGAGAGCTAAGCTGTGTGGAGTCTGAAATTGCAGCAGGGTAGGGTTAGGTGAGTAGTCATGAGTAGACATCATAAAACACCAAAGGATCTCAAGGAGTATGAAATAAAATATGGGAAGCGGAGAGATTGGTAAAGGATTTTGCCTACTACATAATATTTTCCTAGTTAAAGCTTATCACATCACTCTTGCTTTTGTCAAAGAATGTATGATAGATACATTCTATCCAGACAGGTTGGGAAGATGAGAAGCCTCCAGCTAACCCAGTACTTCACCCAACCGCAAAAGCACCTTCAGTTCAGTTCACTGGGTCTCCATCTGGCCCTTAGGTCTCCCCAAGTTTCTCCTACTCCAGGGGAGGAAGAGAGAAAAGAAGAGAGGTACATTCCAGTTAATGGCAACAGATAAGAAAACAGGGCACATTCTTATAAGGCCCTCATTCCTTCTTATCTTATTATGAGGACCTCAACTTCTGCTGTATAATAAATTCACATGTGCATATGTATGTGTGCACACTCCAGACAAATACAGGGTTGCTATGGATATACAAGGCCATGGACAAAAGTGCTGATATCAGTTTGTTACATCAATTTTAAGAGAAGTCTTGGTTTGTTCAACTCAATTGCCTTGTTCTAAGGTTTATCAAAATGTCTTTTAATTAGAGAATCAGAATATTTTCAAATTGATATGATCCATAATTTTAGCTAAAACCTGTATTAATTGCCTCAATAATATTAGAGTCATGGAATATACAGAATATCATCTATATCTCACACATACATATATTATCATCTGGGGATGAAAGAATAGTGGAATTTAGGCAGTATTTCTCTAAAGTATGTTCCATGGAATATTACTGCATGGGCTGATAAGAAGTTACACACACACACACACTTCAGTGACTAAATAAGACTGAGCCCTGTGAAAAATGAAAATGTGGGTTCCTTTATTTAAAAATTAAGAATTTCAAGACAGCAAGGGCACAGCATTGAACCAAGCCTGGGTTTCTTCTCAGCACAGGCCTGTGTGGCTGTACAGGCTGTGCAGCCCTGAGAGAAATCCTAGTTAGATGGCTTAAGAAACCCTGGGTTAAGCATGTTACACAGTTTCATTGCAGCAGGACTTCTCAGAGCCTTTTGTAGGCTAATGTGAATTGTGAACCTCCAAGAGGTACATAGGGTAGCAAAGTCCCCAAACATATGTGACCAAGCTCTTTTGAATTATTATAAAGGTCATCTTGTAGGACCAAGATGCCACACACTGTAAAATGCAGCACTGGCTGTGCAGATGGGTTGTATTTGGTTTAGCATCAATTTGTTAGTTAGAAATCACATGTAACATTTTCCCCATATTGGGAATTAGGTAACTAGAGATAACTATAACTATAGATGCAAATGGTGTGGATTCACTAAATCTACTGCCCTTCACTATTTGATCTTTTACTATTTGAAAAATCAACTCAGTGGCAAAACACCCCAAGTGTTTTCTGAGCGAGTATGCTAGAGGTGGTCTGGTTGTGACTATATCCCACACTAACATTTTCCCCTTTATCTTGTCAATTAGAGGAAATAACATCTTACTTACCATTACCCAGTTCCCAAGAAATGTTGTACTTTTTGCTGGCACTGTACTTCAACAGACTCAAGGCACTAGAACTGTTCCAGGAGTTATTGGGATTGCGACGCAGTGCATTTAGAGCAAATATCAGGTGGAGTCCAGAGCAATCAGCAAAGTTGTAAAGTTTGTCTAGAGACCTGGCTGGGAAGAAGCAGAGAAAGGCTTGTAACTTTCAAATCAACATTCCAACAAAAGGAAAATATAGCTACTACAAAAAGCCTTTCTATGAGCTTCCTAATAGGGATTACACAGAGGGGTTTCTCAAAGCAGCAATTACCTTTTGGTTCAGGGTACCATTTCAAGGTGACTGGACAGCAGCACACACAACTACAGACAGAGGCTGCAAATCAGCAGCAATTCTAGTCCACAGTATGTTTTATTTGATAACCAAACACTGAGTTGCTAACATTTAAAATGGAACGATATCATAAAGTAGCTAGATTTCTAGCTTTTTTCAAAAAGATCTGACACCGTTAGGTCTGCATTCCTTTATGAAATGATAGGAACAGTGTCAGAAGACAAGACCAGGAAAGGCCTGGCTGCTGAGTCTTGGAAAATAGCTCAGCCTAGCAGCACTTTAAAAAAATCACCCAATTCCAAAGTTTTAGTATCTCTAAGAACGGAAGTCCCATAACCATTAGGAGAGATATGCTCAGTGTCAGGTTGATCCCAAATACTATCAACTCCACTCACTGTGTGTCCCATATGCATCCCATTTCTTCATTTCTGTACCACCATTCTAGTTCTGGCTCTCACTTCCACTTGCATAAATTGCCACAATATCTGTACTTGCATGTCTACATCTAGCTTCCTCCCATCCTGCTGGAATCAGCTTCCTTCAATCGATTTCATCAGTTTCACTCACCTCTCAAAACCTTAGTGGATATTCAAGACTATTTTCTTCCATAATTTCTCTCCCCCAAATTCAGGCTTCCATGGTGTCAATGAGTTCTTTGTTGGTGTCAGCCAGTTCTACTTAATAGAGAATCTCCTACTCCACTGGCCTTTGCTCTAATTATCCTCTTCATTTGGCATGCCCTTTTTCCTCTTTTAAACATATCCAGATCTAACTTGTCCTTTAGGTAGTATTTCCCAAGGTATGAGTGACATGAATTTAAGTGGTATTCAGATTGAAAAAAATGTAGGTTAATAATTATGCACAGAGCTTCACATTATTCCAGCCTTAGAGCAGTATTTCTCAAATGGGGTTCTGTGGGACACTAGGGGGTAGATCCACAGGATGTCTCTAGGATGCTCTGCAAAAAATGATGCAGAGTGACCGAGGTGTCCCATTAGTAACTGTCATAAGGCTTTTGGTCCTATAAAGTGGGGTCATGATCATTTGGTTGAGTCCATTATCTGTTTTTAAAATGGGATATAGAGGGGCTGCCATTTTCATATTTGTATGAGAAAGTATTTTTTAAAAAGAATCAGGAACATGAACTCTATAAATAAACTTTTTAGTTTCAAAATAATAATTAAAGTTAAAATTCATGTATAAGTCTAGTAAAGGATCATGAAACCAATACTTGTATATTAATTTTATAATTATCTATGTGAGCCTGACCATGCCACTCAGAAAAAATAATTTCTTTCAAACTTTTATATAACATTTTGTCTTGGAAGTCTATACTTTCAGGGATCATTTCTATAGTTTGTTAAAATGTTGTCTTGGGCAATTTTATTCATGTTGCTTTGACATATAGTTTTAGTAACTTTATTATTCAACATCGTTAATTTATTTTCATATTGAAAACAATTAAATTCATAAACTTTCTTTAAATAAACTAACAAACCTACCTTTAGAAAAATTACCTCTCATTTTGGCTTAAATCAGTTACTTAACAAAAACATATTATGTTTGCTTTATAAGTCTACAAATTCATAAAAAGGAAGGAAAAGGATTAATTTTAAGAAACAAAGTTAACTGCTTGTTTTTGTTTTCAAGAAAGATTGTCTAAAAAGTCACTTTTAGTTTTAAATAGGAGGGGCAAACCTATCTTTGAACTTATCACATACTATATTATTATACTTCAATAGCATTTGCATAATAGAAATATGTGATAAGACTTTTAGCCCTACTTGGGTAAGGCATCAAAAAAGTTAAGTAATATTGGATTGAGCGCGAGCTGTGAACCAAAGTGTCACAGGTTCGATTCCCAGCCAGGGTACGTGCCTGGGTTGCAGGCCATGACCCCCAGCAACCGCACATTGATGTTTCTCTCTCTCTGTCTCTCTCTCTCTTTCTCTCTCTCTCTCTCTCCCTCCCTCCCTCCCTTCCCTCTCTAAAAATAAATGGATAAAATCTTTTAAAAATAATAATAATAATAATTTTATACTTTGAGAAGCCAAAAAAAAGTTAATTAATAAATTTGAAAAAGGAAAACCTGAAGTTTCTTTTACCTATACTACTGAACTACATTATAGTTGGTATCCTTTGTGGAAAGGGGGGACCTACGAAAGGATAGGCTAAGCAGTTGGTCAAACTAAACAGGTCCTCAAAAAAAAAATAATCACTCTGTTTAAAAGATTACTGACAATTATTATTGGATTACAATATCTACAACTAAATTATCAAACTGACATACTAGAAGATTTAGATATAATTTTTATCCAGAGATTCCCTGAGACTTGGGAATTATTTCAAGTGTTTCTCCAGTATAAAAATTTGAGAAGGCTGCTCTAGAGTTAAAGAATGCTAGGAAAATAAAAGTCATCCTAACACCAAAATATTCACTGTTGAATTGAGAACTGACTTAAGTAATCCTTCCACTTTATGATATCCTCACTAATCAAATCAATGATGCTTTCAATTTGTCCAATATAATGCAAAATCAGTATAAATCTATCGGAATACCAAGTTACAAATCTGAGCAAAAGAAGCAGAATTTCATGAGATTAAAAAAAATGTCTGACAACTGCTCAGACACCATGAAAATCCAGTAACAAGGACTTAAAACAATTAGTTAACTGAACAAGAGAAAACTCACAAAGATGATAACTAAAAAGTCTGCTCATACAATAATTTGAATATTAAAAGGTCAAGAGAGGTCTATTTTGAAGTCTTTTAGTATTTATAATTGTGCCACTAAAATTAAATTATTTTGTCAAAAAATACTAACTATTCAATTAAATAATATTTTGTTCACTCAAATTGTTCAGTCACAATAGCATATAGTGTAAAGTATACAATGAAATACTTATTTTCATAATTTTTAGTTTCATATGCAAACTAAAATCATAATCAAACTTTTACATCTAAAGTTAATATAAATGACTGGTACTCTTTTTAGATGGACTGATTTCCTTATGTGGTCTTTCTGTCAATCACATTGTTTTATTCAGTGTCATTTTATTACAACATTGATGAGATGCCTTAGCTATTTAACTCTTGTTTATATAAATTAGCCTATGGTAAGACTGGTTTCATTATACATAGTTTCTCTTCAAGTCACAGACCCTATCAAAGATTAAGTGAGGACATACTGTAATTATCTCCATATAATGAGGATTTCCTTTGTTTCATGTATATTAGAAAAACAAGTATATAGCAAACACAAAAGCACATCAATCTGTCATTTGTTGGATTGAGACAGGGATGTCCAACCCACAGCCTGCAGGCTGCCTGTGGCCCAGGATGGATATAAATGCAGCCCAAAACAAAAATCATAAATTTACTTAAAACCTTTTTTTCTCATCAGTTTTCATTAGTGTTTGTGTATTAAATGTGTGGCCCAAGAGAACTCTTCTTCTGCCAGTGTGGCCCAGAGATGCCAAACAGTTGGACATCCCTGATCTAGACAAGACAGTATGTAATGGGGTGCAGCCAGGGGCCCCCAAATGAAGGATTTGAAATGGGGTCTAGAACTTGGGTGTCCAGGAAATATATAGGATACCCCCACTCCCACAAGTCCTCACTAGGGGATGGGACACATGAAGCAGGGCTATTGAAAGTTATTTTGCATATCCACAGTTGGCCAGCTCCATACATGATATGTAAAAAATGGTTATTTTACATATCTGTAACAGCTGACTAGCTTCATGGATATGTTAAGTAGCTGTGGTCATGCTTTGAACCAGGGAGATGGGAGTGATATAACTAGGAGGCAGCTCCCCTGGTTATAACACCTGCATGAGAGCTTGGAGGTGGTTCCATCCCCGCCATGGGTCCATGCCTGCCAGGACTAACTAAGGCAGCCCAGAGATGTTGAAAACTGCAGGAGGGCTAGCAGGTGTAGCCGATTGTGGGAGGAGTCGGAAATGGTGTTACAGAGGAGGTTCTGGACTGGGATTTAAAACTAAAGGCGGGCTCGCATGAGGGAGGGTGAGATGATGCAGGACTAGAGATAAGGGACAATGCAGGACAATGAGAGAGGACAATGCAAAACCTTGCAGGGAAGGAAAATGGTGAAAGAACTCTCGCTAGTGGGACATGAAAAGGTGCCTCATGGTTTTGGATTAAGAACTGGAGATTCTAGCGACTCAGCTAATGGTGTTGGGGACTGTGGAAAACCTGCCTAGCCAAGCATGAATTACTGAGAGGAACCGGGAGGAGTGAGCAGTGGACTTCTGTTCTTTTTCTTCTGGAGGTCGGTACTTCTGATTGGCAGGTTCTGAGGCTGGCCTGCCAGGGCAAAGGGGGAAGGAAGGACTGTGTGTGTTCGTGGGTGTTTTAAGGGACTTAGGGATTTTTAATAGTGGCATTCTGTCATTACCCTAAACCTGTATAACTTTTGAATAAATATTTCCTTTCCTTTTTACCAAACTCTGGCATTGAGAACCTCAATTCCTAAGGGCAACGGACAAAGAATTATAGTATAGAGAAATCCGCCATGGGTCCATTCTGAAACAAAAGTACATTTACAAAAAAAAAAAACCTGTCAACGTAAAGTGTGAAGAAATAATATAAATGGTTTTCTTAACATGGCAAAAATGAGAACTAGAGTTCTAGAAATTTTGGAAATACCTTGGTAAAGATAAATTGAGGTCCTGCCTTCTTCATGGAGTCATTCCTGAACATGTCAACCTCCCCACAGTGACTTAGACCTTCTCTACACTCAGGATCTATACAAATTATTGGAATATGAGTGCCTAGTGACATCTCCTGTGACACTGTCATACCTTGAGATTTACCTTTTAAT